AAAACAGAGTTGTGTCTACTGCAAGAAAACCGTAACGGTCTGACAGTGACGACCTACAGAGGACTCAGCCCATTGGCTGAATTGATCACTCATCCAGAAAAAGAGGCGACCATTTCCATGGCTCCCAGCCCATTGGCTGACAGGACCACCCAGAGCTGTATTTGGCTTTCTTTTAAATCGTTGAAAATGAGTTTTTTAAATCTGAAGAAACTGTGGAAACCACACACGCTTCACACACCACTGTTCCTATGTATAATACCATGCTAGTGGGTCCTGGCCTCAGGGTGAAAATTTTTTATCATTGTTATTTTTTTTAATAAGCTGCCTTTTCCTCATCGGGGGACAGCCATATATGAGGTGGACCCCACTGCTTTGCGCAAAGCTTCGGAAAACGATCAGATATGACCTGGCAGATGTTTTCACTCAGTTTTGTTTTGCCCGTTCCTCGCGGTTCGGCCATTCTGAGGGGGTAGCGGGGGGCCACCTCCCTCCGTTCGGCCATCCCATGTGGAAAGGAGAGCCAGGGATTGGGTGAGAACCGAGACAAGCGGATGTGAAGTTTCCATATAGGGAAAGTTTTCCCTATCGGGTAACCAGCACCAGCAGAACTGGTGAAACTTTGTGCTGCAGTGGGGTCCGCTTTTCTCTTTCCCGTGGCCGGGGCCTACTATTTGGGTTTGGCAAAAGCTTGGAAAGCTTCCACCAGGCAGTGGGGTCCACCTCTATTTTTCGCTCACCTCACATATCTTTTAAACCACCAGTACTTGGCCCATACATTGGCTGCAGGCCGTTGCCGTTAACGCTACGCAAAGTTCGGGCTTCGGGGTACCGGACCTCAATGGCTGGAAGCGCCAGCCAAAAAAAATTGAAACGGTACCCTGGCGCTTCGGCAAAAATCGGCGCGCAGGGGGATTCCAGGCTCGGCAACGATAGCTGGGCCAAGTACTGGAACATATCTTTCTTTTCAGAACCTAGCAAAGAACCTAGCACTACTCCTTAGGCTATGCAGGGGGACCCCTGCAAGCATAGCTTCCTACCTCTCTTCCGTGAAGCTGCAAGCATAGCTTCCTACCTCTCTTCCGTGAAGGGAGGTTACCTCTCGGCGGAGAGGGGTAAGGGCATGCTTGCCCCTTTGCCCTAGTGTTTAGGGTGCAGGGTTGGGGCCGCCGGTGGGGGCCCGGCTAACACAAGGACAGACCCTGCTAACACAAGGACAGAGCATTTGCCCGTAACTGTGCCTCCCTTTTCATCTTCCCCCACCCCCATCGAGTAACAGTAGTGTCTAAAGCCAACACTCTCCCACACACCACAGAGCGTTTTTATAATGATTTAGCGTTGCGTCACCATGCAACGATATGCATGGCACACCATTTGGCCCGCTGGCCATGATCCGTTGCTATGGTGGATCTGTACACCTCGTGAGTGTCTGATTTCGAATCATCTGATCGACCATTTGCGGCGTTTCAACACGGAAACTGTAATGAAGCCGCGCAACATAAGTGTTGTTCTGCTCTTGCCTTTCTGCAGAGGAAAAATACTGGTTGCCTTCAGAGGTGTTCTACGTCGTTCAACTTGCAAACACAGAGAGCGAGCGAGCGGGAGAGAGAGAGAGAGAGAGAGAGAGAGAGAGAGAGAGAGAGAGAGAGAGAGAGAGAGAGAGAGAGAGAGAGAGAGAGAGAG